TGGGAGGCCGAGGCGGGTGGATCACCTGAGGTCGGGAGTTCGAGACTAGCCTGGCCAACATGGAGAAACCCTGTCTCTACTAAAAATACAAAATTAGCCGGGTGTGGTGGCGCATGCCTGTAGTCCTAGCTACTCGGGAGGCTGAGGCAGAAGAATTGCTTGAACCCGGGAGACGGAGGTTGCGGTGAGAAGAGATCACACCATCGCACTCCAGCCTGAGCAACAAGAGTGAAACTCTGTCTCAAAAAAAAAAAAAAAGATAAAAAGATGAGGAGAGGTGACATTTCCGACAAAACAAGTGACTACACAAAGGAGTGGGGAAGGGGCTGGACCCAGGCACTAAGGACTCCAGAGCTCTGCCCTTTGTCCTGTTCCAGGCTGCTCCCTGAGGGCTAGGCTGGGTGGAGCTGGCAGGAAGGGATGTTGAGGCTGCCAGAAACTCGCCAGGAATCCCTGGCAGAGGGCACTGGGGCAGGGGCAGGCCCACTGGGGCCGTGGGTGCAGACTAGGGCAGAGGTAGGGCAGAGGGGATTTGGCTTTTACTGGGCACTGGACCTTTCTTTGCCCTAAAGAGTTTCTGGACAGCTGAATCCGACTCCTGGGGACTGAGCAGGAATAAGGAGGGCGGTGGGGAAGGAAGTGGGGTGGGGGTGGATGGGGGATGGAGGAAGGGCCAGGTCTGGGGCCTGGGAGGAAGCAAAGGCTTCTGAAGCCGGGAAGCCTGGAATCAGATGCAGGCGGGGACAATGAGTGGCTGAATAAAAGAGCAAACATTGCACCAACAGTCTCTGCGTGCCTGGTGCCTGGTCTCTTTCTCTGTGTGTGTGTGTGTGAATTTAGAAATACGGATCAAATCTAGCTATGTTGCCTAGACTGGTCTCGAACTCCTGCACTCAAGCAGTCCTCCTACCTCGGTCTCCCAAAGTGCTGGGATTTCTTTTCTTGTGTTTTTTTTTTTTTTCATTCTCAAAGGAGGTGATGAGATTTCTTTATGTGTTGTATGTGAAGTGACTCATGTCACCTGCCCCACAACCCATGAGGGAGGGACCATTATCATCCCTTTTGGCAGATGACAAAATTGAGGTACAGAAAGGTGACATGACCACCTGGGGTCACATGGCCAGCGGGGGGCAGCTCCAGGGCAGCGCTGCTGATCTCTGCTGTTTCTGTGTGCTGCACCCTCTGTCTGTGCTTCAAAGTATATGCTTTCTGGTCAGGTGTGAGGGTCTCTGGGGTTCATGTGTACATATGCACCTCTGCAGGTATGTGTCATGGCTAGCGTGTCCTGGCCTGTGTCCGTCGGCACTGGTACGTTTGAAGGTATGAATGTTTGTATGCAAGTGTTATGGCCTATGTGTGTTTCTTAGCCTGTGAATGTATCTGTGTCTCTGTTTCTCTTGGCCTGTGAGCTTGTGTGGGTGTATTTGTTTATGTATAAACGGATATACATGCTTGTGCATATCTTGGTTTCTGCGTGTGTGTTGAGAACAAACCTCTCCCCATTTGCTTAAGCTGGAACCCAGGATGTCATCCTGGCCACCTCCCCACACACCAACTCCCATGTAATCCATCCCCTAGTCCTGCCCACTCTGCCTACCAAAGGCCTCTGGAACCTGGCCCTTCTCCCCACCTCCACTGCCTCCTCCCTGGTGCAGGCTGTAGCATCATTATCTGGGTGACTGTGACAGCTCTTTATATATTTCTGATTTTGTTCTCTTTGTTGTCTGCATAGCAGCCACAGGATCCTTCTAAAACATAAATCTGTTCACACACTTCCAACCCTTCAACACCCTCTCCTTTGCTTTCAGGATAAAGCCCCCAATCCTGGACATGGCCTCCCAAGCCAGGTACCATCCTCCTCTCTCTCTCTTTTTTTTTTTTTTGAGACGGAGTCTTGCTTAGTTGCCCAGGCTGGAGTGCGGTGGCTCGATCTCGGCTCACTGCAAGCTCCGCCTCCCGGGTTCACGCCATTCTCTTGCCTCAGCTTCCCAAGTAGCTGGGACTACAGGCGCCCGCCACCGCACCCGGCTAATTTTTTTGTATTTTTAGTAGAGACGGAGTTTCACCATGTTAGCCAGGATGGTCTCGATCTCCTGACCTCGTGATCCACCCGTCTCAGCCTCCCAAAGTGCTGGGATTACAGGCGTGAGCCACTGCGCCTGGCCTCTCTCTTTTTGAGACAAAGTCTCATTGTTGCCCCGGCTGGAGTACAGTGGTGCCATCACAGCTCACTGCAGCCTCAACCTCCTGGGCTCAATTGATCCTCCCACCTCAGCCTCCCAAGTAGCTGGGACTACAGGTACACCCGACAATGCCTGGCTAATGTTTGTATTTTTGGTAGAGATGGGGTCTTGCAGGCCGGGCGCGGTGGCTCAAGCCTGTAATCCCAGCACTTTGGGAGGCCGAGACGGGCGGATCACGAGGTCAGGAGATCGAGACCATCCTGGCTAACACGGTGAAACCCCGTCTCTACTAAAAAATAGAAAAAACTAGCGGGGCGAGGTGGCGGGCGCCTGTAGTCCCAGCTACTCGGGAGGCTGAGGCAGGAGAATGGCGGGAACCCGGGAGGCGGAGCTTGCAGTGAGCCGAGATCGCGCCACTGCACTCCAGCCTGGGCGACAGAGCGAGACTCCGTCTCAAAAAAAAAAAAGAGATGGGGTCTTACTATGTTGCCCATGCTGGCCTCAAACTACTGGACTCAACGGGTCCTCCCACCTTGGCCTCCCAAAGTGCCAGGATTACAGGTGTGAGCCACTGTACCCAGCTACCATCCTCCTCTCTTAACCTGCCTGAGCTGTTTCCTCTTTCTCTTCCTCCTGGCCCTGGCTGAGCTCCCTCTGCACTGTAACTCAATGCTTCCTCAAGCCTCAGGTCTTTCTCCATCCTGTCCACTCTGTTCCCCTTCCTGCCCCCTGCACACTTAACGCCTCTCCATCCTTGGGTCCAATATTGCCTCCTTGGGAAGCCTCCCAATTCTATCTTCCCAGGGTATTTTTCTCTGTTGTATTTATGACAGTTTACAATCATAGTCTTATCTGAGTAACATCTGTGTCCTCAGCTCAACTGTGAAGCTGTTCTTGCTACCGAGAGCCCAGGCCTAGCACAGCTCAGTGTTCAGTGAATGTCTGCTGAATGAATTTGTGTGACTGGAACCTCCTGAGCCCAGAATCAAATTTGGGACCACAGCAGTTGTGGGCCCACAAACTCCCTGCCTGGAGGAGGCTGGGGCAGCCATCTCTTTGCCCTCACTGGCCAAGTAAGGAAGCCTAGGTGGCCTTGGTCCCTCAGAGCCCCAGTGTCGTCATCTGGGAAATGGGGTGATCATAAGGACACTAGCCTCATCCAGTTACTGGCAAGACGAAACTGATGACGAGGATTGCTCCAGCCAGCCCAGATGCCCTTGAGGCAGGAGTGAGGTCTGATTAATTTATCTAAAGCCTGGCACGAGGGCGGGGCCTCAGGAAATAATGACAGGCAAATCTTGGAGTTTGCAGGAATGAGCCTTTGTGAATGGCTCATTTTGCAGGGAGCCCTGCCCAACTGGATTCTGACTCCTCATGACAACCCCAAGGGAAGCATGAGTATTGTGATCTCTGTTACAGTTCACACATTCCTTCACTTATTCATCCAATAAATATTTGAGTGCCTATTTGCCTGGCATACCAAGCTCTGGAAGTACAGGGTAAACAAGGCAGATACAGCCCTGCTTTTAGGATGTTCACTGTCTAGTGAGGACTAACAGTAACAATAACCTTCAGTTCTCCTGAGGGTTTGCTGTGTGCCTGTGCCAAATGCTCTGCACTCACTCTAACCTCACAAAAGGAGGTACTCCTATCATCATACCCATTTTAGAGCTCAGAAAGCTGAGGCAGGGAAAGAGGGAGTCTCCTGCCCAGCACATCACAGCTCCCAGCCTGAGGAACCAGATCTCCAACGCCCACGTTTCTTAACTACAGTCTGTACTGCCTCTGGGTATGCTATGCTGGTGTGGGGCTCAGTGTCTTGCTGTGACAGCGAGTGCCCTTGGGCTTCAGTCTGTCTGCCCTCTGAGCCTGTCTGAGCCTGCGTATGTGTCTGGAGCCAACTCCAGGTCTATTCTGGGCTAATGATGTGTTCTATGGCAGGGGAAGCAATGAGTTTGGGGTCCCGGGGGCTGAGGGGTGGTGTTAGTTTCCTTCCTGCATGGGAACTTCCCACAGGTCCCCATGCTGATTGATAACTGCTTGTAACTGAGGACCTGCCCCTGCCTGAGGCTTGCAGCATTTCTGTTGGTCTGTCAGCCTTTGTTCTGCCTTTTGAGACCTGAAAATAATGGGACACCCTAGAGAAATCAGGCCTTTCCTTTTCCTGAGGCAGGTGTGCAGGTCTGAAGCCAAGCCAGGGCCACTTGTCCTGGAAAGGGTAGGGGTCAGGGTTAGGCCACAGTGGAGCCGGCTGAAGCAGGTGGGCTGACAATGGATGGATGGATGGATGGACTGACTTGCCAAGTGGGAGGCCGGGATGCGATGAGCTTTACTGGCCCCGCTGCACTCTCCACTATGGGTGCCCCTTCCTCCTACCTCTCCTTGACTCACCCCTAGACTTCCTCTTTGAGTAACACCTGCTAACCTCCTTCCCCCTTATCCTCTCAAGAGCGCTGGAGCCCTGAACATCGGCGCTTGAACCATTCCCTAGGTGGAAAAACACTGAGGGCAGCCGTTGCCCTTGGTCACACGGCGAATACGGAATCCGAGCGGGAACCTTGGTCCACGAGGCTCGCATTCCGGACTCTGCTCCCAAGCCGATCCCGGCGTCAGCTAGTCCCTGTGCCAGGGTGGGCCTCTCGGCTGTCACATCACCCCCTTCTCACAGTGGATCATCCCGTTTTCCCCGCAAGCGGCAATGGGCCAGTCCGCGGACCCCCCCACTCCTCGTGGCAGTGGGCCAGTCCACGCTGTCCCCACTCCCCCGCAGGATGTACGAGGTTCCTTCCGGGCTGCTGCAGGTCTCCGCGCGCTCACCTTTGGCCTTGCCTTTTCGCCACCGCCGGCGACCGCGGCTCCTCGAGCCCTCTTTGGCATTCTTCGAGGCCGGGGCCATAGCGGCCTCAGCGGGTTCCATTCCCCCGGCCGACTCCATCAATCCCCGCGGTCCTCGCGCGGGGGCCAATTCCAGCCGCGAGGCCCTGCCCGGAGGGCCAATCCTCGCTACACACTACCGTCGGGCCCCCCTATTACCCAATCCCGAGCTTGCTATTCTCTGGGTCCTGCTCCCTAGCCAATCCCGGTCTCCCTCCGCTGCCGTGCTCCGCCCCCAACCGCCAGAATTTAAGATCTGGCTCCGCCCCCTATCGCGCATTAAAGGGCTCGCGGCCAACAAAAAGGAAGCCCTGGGGGCGGCGAAAAGCGTCCTTCGGGCAGGACTAGTGCGGAGCCCCGCGGGGAGCACCCCAGCAGGGAAGTCCCGATCTTCCCATGTGCTGGGAAGCCTCCCATGTGCTGGCTCAGTCTCGCCATCCCACTCACCTTCCCAGGGAGGGATCCCCTAGAACGCGGCTCGGCCCGCCTTTTGAAGGGGTAAAAGTGGGGCGCCTCTGGGCCTCTGCCTGGGGTGGGGGCGGGCCAGGTCCTCTGCCAACTCAAAGACGAGGCGGGGCGCCAGCGCTGGAGGCGTGGCTGTGCCTGAGAACCGTTGGAGGAGGGAGCCCCGCCTTCCCTCTCCTGGCGCCTAGTTCTCCTATTGCGCTTTTCCTGGGGGATCTTTCTCCCTCTGTCTCCGCCCCCCAATCCATGCTTCCGAGATTGGGGGTGGGGGGTGGTGGGTGGTGGTGGCGAGTACGCTCGGCGCCTGCGCACTAGCTTCACGCCGCGGGCCGGCCCAAGAGCGGAGGTGGAGGGAACGACGCATGCCTGAGAAAAGGCGGGAAACAGAGGAGGCTCGAGGCTTGCGCACACGCACACAGCTAACTGCTTCTGGACCGCCTGAGAGGCGGCCTCGCCCGCCGTGGCGGTGTGGGGCGGGCATCCCTTGAGACTGTGTTCTGGAGGCCTGGAGAAACAGCTTCCCATCCTCAGCACTGGGGAGAGCAGACCTCCATCCCTGTCTTTGCCTGCTGCCCCTCCTCCTTCCCTCTCAAAGCATACCCACCAGCCCCGGCTCTGAGAAACGCGTTATCCTCTTATCAGCTCTGGGAGAGACAGGACGGACTGGCCTCTGGGCGGTGGGGCCGCCATTGCCTGCCCTCTGGACCAGGGCCTCACAGATGCCCTCAACTTCAGGATTAGGGCTGCGTTGCTTTTTCCCCCCACGTCAGGGGACTTTAACAAGTAACCTCCAGTTCCACAGATAAAACTTGCATTCCTCCCTTCTCCGTGGCGGGGGTTTTGAGCCTAGAGAAGGAAGATCCGAGCTTCCTGGGGCTCCTATGAAGCAGGCAGGGGGCAGCACGGGGCCCCGGGAAGAGGCGGAGAAGGCAAGAGAGTGCCTGCAGCGAGCCCAGAGCCTTGGGCCCGTTATCCTCTGATGCTGCTCCCCCAACTTTCCTGCCGTCAGCCCCTGACCTTGCCTGAGACCTTGGCGGCTCCCGCACCTCCTCCCAGCTCCTCGTTGCTGAGAACACAACCCGTAAGGCCATTCCGCCTGGCTGGACTGAGTCCCCTATGGAGGCAACCTGGCAGGAAGCAGGTGTCTTCCTGGCAGCAGAGGACAGACCTGGTAAACTGAGAGACTGTTGATGCCCCGATGTTCTGCCTAGCCTGCATGGAAACTCCAGAAGGGTAAGGTCCCATCTGGCATTGTATTGCTGGGACTTATGCCTGTGTCTGTCCCAGAGCTGGTGCTCGGTCAGTTTCTGTGGATGGATGAATGAATACTGGCAAGGGGGCCACTTTCCTGGTCTCCTAGTCCCTAGCCCAGAGTGCCTTCCCACTCTGGGATTTGATTTTCCCCAAATCCTCTGTAGGGAGGGAGCCTGGTCCGGGGGAGAAAGACCCCGGCTTCAAATCCTGACTTTGCCACTTCCTAACTGCATGGCCTTGTGCAAGAACCCTGACTTCTTTATTTTTCTGCCTCAGTGTCCTCATTTATAAAATGAGGATGTTGGTCAGTTGCTCGGTGGCTCATACCTGTAATCTCAGCACTTTGGGAGGCCGAGGTGGGAGGCTTGCTTGGGGCCAGGAGTTCGAGACCAGCCTGGGCAACCTAGCGAGTCCACGTCTCTAAAAAAATGTAAAAATTAGCTGGGTATGGTGGTGCACCTGTAGTCCCAGCTACTCGGGAGGCTGAGGTAGGAGGATCGCTTGAGCCCAGGAGTTTGAGGCTGCAGTGAGCCGTGATCATGCCACTGCACTCCAGCCTGGGCGACAGAGTGAGACTTCGTTTTTTCTTTTTTTGAGATGGAGTCTCACTCTGTTGCCCAGGCTGGAGTGGGTTGCAGTGCAGTGGCGCGATCTCAGCTCATTGCAACCTCCACCTCCCGGGTTCAAGCAATTCTCTGCCTCATCCTCCTGAGTAGCTGGGATTACAGGCACCTGCCACCATGCCTGGCTAATTTTTGTATTTTTAGTAGAGACGATGTTTCACCATCTTGGCTAGGATGATCTTGAACTCTTGGCCTCAAGCAATCCACCTGCCTTGGCCTCCCAAAGTGCTGGGATTACAGGCGTGAGCCACTGTGCCCGGTGTTTTTTTTTTTCTTTTTTTTCTTTTTAAATGGGAATGTTGATCTTTATCTCAGGATTGTTGAAGGATAACCAGAGCTAACCTGATACACCACAAGTTTTTAGTATTTCTTAAGTAAATGAATGACTGTCCCTGAGAGGCTTCAATTCCTCCAGGTTCAAACTCACCTGTATCCTGGTAGTGTCTGTGATTCTGGGCACTGGTTTTCTTATGTGGCGACGTCCCACCATATCCTGACATCACTTTATAACCAGATTTTCTTTTGAAGGGTAGCTTCGCTCCCTGGGCCACCATTCCACCCATCGTGGCTAGAGACTCTGTGTCTGAAGATGATCCCACCTCTGATTCTGACTCAGAATCTGTGACCCACTCAGAAAGTGCCTTCCACTCTAGGGCTGATCGCTGTATGGATAGTTCCTGCAGTTTTGTTAGAAATCCCAGCTCTATCAAAGATCCCTGCTTGGATTTGGCTCCCTGGACTGGAGTTGTTTGCTGGTCTGACTGTTCAGGTGTCTCTTGGGATGTAGATTCAGTCAGGTCTGATGGCTCCCTTTTGGCTCCAGGTTTAGCCTGGGCCTCAGGTGTTGATTCAGCTTCTTGTTGAACTGGAGGTGGCTCTCCTGGCCCAGACCCTGGCTGGGCTACATGTCTTTCTCTCAATGCTGGCTCCTGTTGAGTTGTAGATTCTTTTCCTAGCCCAGGTCCCTGCTGGGAGGCAGGTTCCTGTTGAGTGAGGGGCACCCTTTTGACGTGAGGTGATTGCTGTGGTGCAGGCTTCTGTGGGGCAAGAAATTCCTCTTGTGAAGCAGATTTTTGTTGGGCTCTAGGATCCTTCTGGGATTCAGCATCATGTTGTGCAGGAGTCTCCTGCTGGGAGAGGGGTCTTTGCCTTGAATCAGGCTCCTGTTGGGTCTTCGATTCTGCCTGGGCTATGGGTGTCTTTTCTGGCTCTGGTGTGGTTATAGGCCTCTGGTGTGGCTCAGGTTGCCAGTCTGGCCTAGATGCTGACTTAGAACCTGGCTCCATTGTTACTTCCTTCACGGGAGATACTGATCTTCCAGGTTTCATCCTTCTGGGCTCCCACCCAGCCCTCTCTCTTCACAGATATCTCATTGATTCCTCATGATGGCACATTCCCTTGGGTTTCACTCCATCCTGGCATCACTGGTCTTCCTTTTTAAGGCAGCAGGCAGTGGGCCGATCACACCTGGCCCCCACTAAGTAGTGAACTCTGTGCCTCTTTCTTTGGTGGGAGGATTAGGAATAGGAGGAGGCTATGTGCCCAGCACTGTCTTACAAGAAGGGAGGGGCTTGCTCTCTTGTGTCATAAATAGGGCCCCAGGGCCCCACCCCACCCACCACTTAGTTAAAATGTTTCTTCTCATAAGGCAAACATCCCAGTTTAGGCTTCTGTGTCATCTGGCATGATAGAAGCCAGATGCTGGATAAGTGTTCCTTTTTTCTCTCTCCTTCTGATGTTTGAGGAAAGCGTCATTCCGGGGGCAGTCTCTGTAGTTGTTGTAATAATTATTTCCTTCTTTGTTCCTTCCTACAAATGGTTGCCAGATTATTTATTTATTTATTGAGACAGAGTCTTGCTCTGTTCCCCAGGCTGGAGTGCAGTGGTGCCATTTTGGCTCACTGTAACCTCCACCTCCTGGGCTCAAGTGACTCTCCTGCCTCAGCCTCCCAAGTAGCTGGGACTACAGGCACGCACCGCCACGCCTGGCTAATTTTTGTATTTTTAGTAGAGATGGAGTTTTGCCATGTTGGCCGGGCTGGTCTTGAACTCCTGACCTTAAGTGATCCGCCTGCCACCCTCCCGCCCCAGGCCTCCCAAAGTGCTGGGATTACAGGTGTGAACCACCACGCCCAGCCAGGTTGGCAGTTTAATTTCCTTATATTGTCACTCTGATCATTTAACTCCCATGCTAAAAAGTAATGTCATGCCCTCCCATCTTTATAGCTTGAGGCCCTTCTGAATGACATTTGAGATACTCCATGCCATCTCTCTAGCCCTGAACTATGATCCTGTACTAGATTGGAAACTCAAAGACAGTGACCACTGATGATGATAACTGATAATGATGGTGGTAATGGTGATGATAGTAGTTATAAATACCAAAGGCTGCCTAAGTGCTAAGAAACTGTGCCAAGTTTTTTTTTTTTTTTAAACCTATATTGTCTTTAGTAAGACCATGGCTGGTTCATTGGTATACTTTTTTTTTTTTTTGGTCCCACCTAGCTCTTACCTCAGAAAGATTTATTGAATGAGTGAAAGATGAACAAGTAGGCCAATGGCGACAGAGTGAGGGTCTTGGTGGGGAGAGGTATGTGTAGAATCTGCATTCAGTCTGCAGTGAATAGAGTAAAATGGGTCATCTGGATGTGAATTGGCAGACCCCATTTGAAAGAAACAATTTTGATCTGTTACATTTAAAAATATTTATTGACTCGTGTTTGCTACTTTCCTGATTGTATTTAGGTTAAATGACACCAGCTAGGAAGCTACAGTTTCCTGGAATCTTTCAGATAATTAAGCCTAAGCCTGGGTAAGGGGAGGGCACAGGATAAGACTGACGAGAGAAGAAGGTACTAGAGAGAGCAACAACCAAAATGATCTTGAGAAACGTGCTTTTTGAGAGCACTGGAATGATTTAGGATGGGTACAGTGGAAGAGTGAGGTGGGAGAAGAAGAGTGTCTGGTAGGTATGCTCACTGTCTTCTTGACTGAGAATGTTTAATAGGAAGAGTGGGAGCTTAGAGCTCCTACAAAGGCAGAACAAAGCTTCTTAGCTGACATTGTTTGAGAAATTGCTGGCAGGCTCTGGAATGCTTGTTTGGCTTTCTGTGGTGCCTTTGGTGTCCTAGGGTGCAAATAAAGGGAAGAGGCTAGTGTTAAAAACATTTTTAACATTTCTTTCTTTTTATTTTTTATTTTGGAGATGGAGTCTTGCTCTATCGCCCAGGCTGGATGGAGTGCAGTGGCACGATCTCAGCTCATTGCAACCTCTGCCTCCCAGGTTCAAGTGATTCTCCTGCCTCAGCCTCCCGAGTAGCTGGGATTACAGGTGCCTGCCACCATGGCTGGCTAATTTTTGTATTTTTAATAGAGACAGGATTTTACCATGTTGGCCAGGCTGGTCTGGAACTCCTGACCTCAGGTGATCCACCCGCCTCGGCCCCCCAAAATGCTAGGATTACAGGTGTGAGCCACCATGCCTGGCCTTAACATTTAATTTTTTTTTGTGACGGAGTCTCGCTCAGTCGCCCAGGCTGGAATGCAGTGGTTCGATCTTGGCTCACTGTAACCACTGTCTCCTAGATTCAAGTGATTCTGCTGTCTCAGCCTCCCGAGTAACTGGGATTATAGGCACCCACCATCATGCCTGGCTCATTTTTGTATTTTAGTAGAGACGGGGTTTCACCATGTTGGCCAGGCTGGTCTTGAACTCCTGACCTCAGGTGATCCGCCTGCTTTGGCCTCCCAAAATGCTAGGATTACAGGCGTGAGCCACTGTGCCCAGCCAACATTTAATTTTATGAGAGTTTTAAAGATTGTAAAAATAAGACTCATCCAGTGGAAAAACATTTTTAAATCCCCACCCCAGCCTCTACAACACATTTTCCAGGGCTAACCACTGTTATAGTTTGCTACATATTTTTCCATACCTTCTGGTATATAAATACAATGGTTTATTTTAAAAACAAAAATGAGATTATACTATACGTATTGCCTTAGTCTGACTTTTAAGAAATCTGGCCGGGCATGGTGGCTTACGCCTGTAATCCCAACCCTTTGGGAGATCGAGGTGGGCAGATAGCTTGAGCCCAGGAGTTCAAGACCAGCCTGAGCAACATGGCGAAACCTTATCACTACAAAAAACACAAAAATTAGCTGGGCATGATGGCGTGTACCTGTGGTTTCAGCTACTGGGGAGTCTGAGGTGGGAGGAACATTTCAGCCCAGGAGGTGAGCCGTGATCATGCCACTGCACTCCGGCCTGGGTGACAGAGGAAGACCTTGTCTCAACCGCGCCACCCACCCCCCCAAAAAAGCCAACTGAATCTATTATTGCCAAGTATTATATTTCTATAGAAGTTCACACAAACTTATACGTGCAATTCAATAAATAGTTATAAAGCAGATATTCATGAAACTACTACCTAGGCTTAGAAATAGAATATTGTGTCCAGGCACGGTGGCTTACACCTGTAATCCCAGCACTTGGGGAGGCCAAGGCAGGCAGATCACCTCAGATCAGGAGTTCGAGACCAGCCTGACCAACATGGAAAAATCCGTCTCTAATAAAAATACAAAGTTAGCTGGGCGTGGTGGTGCATCCCTGTAATCCCAGCTACTCAGGAGGCTGAGGCAGGAGAATTGCTTGAACCTGGGAGGCAAAGGTTGCAGCAAGCCGAGATTGCGCCATTGCACTCCAGCCTGGGCAACAAGAGCAGAACTCCGTCTCAAGAAAAAAAAGAAAGAAAGAAATAGAATATTGCCAGTGGCACCCCTACTTTTCTGATCACTGCTTCCTCTCCCCATCACAGTGATAATCCTGATTTTTATGGTAATTATTTACTTTCTTTTCTTTCTTATTTACCACCTATGTGTATAGATTCCTAAATAATTTAGTTTATTTTTTGCTCATTTTTTAACTTTGTGTATACATTATGGTCTGAGTGTTTATGTCTCTCCCCAGTTTTTTTTTTTTTTTTTGATGGAGTCTCACTCTGTTGTCCAGGCTGGAGTACAATGGCGTGATCTTGACTCACTGTAACCTCTGCAGTGCAGGGTTAAAATAATTCTCCTTCCTCAGCCTCCTGAGTAGCTGGGAGTACAGATGTGCACCATCATGCCTGGCTACTTTTTTTGTATTTTGAGTAGAGATGGGATTTCACCATGTTGGCCAGGTTGGTCTTAAACCCCTGACCTTAGTTTATACCCCTGCCTTGGCCTCCCAAAGTGCTGGGATTACAGGCATGAGCCACTGCACCTGGCCTCACTTTAGTTTTAATTCACATTTTCCTTGCAAAAATAAGGTTGAGTGCCATTGCATATGTTTATTAGCTGTTTGGGTTTCATCATCTGTGAAGTGGCCATTCAAGTATTTTTGCCCGTTTGTTGTATTTCCTGCCCTCCTCTCACTGGTCTGTAGAAATTCCTTACATAAGTATTCTGAATACTAATCCTTTGAAGGTTATATATATTACAGATATCATCTCCTAGTAGGCAGCTTGTCATTTTATTCTTTTGATGATTAAAACTTATTAATTTCAGTGAAGTCAGATTTATTTACTCTTTTACTTTATGGTTTATGCATTTTGTATTTTGTTTAAGAAAGGCTTTCATACCTCAAGGTTGTGAATATATTCTCCTGTATTTCCTTGTAAATTTGTTTTTCAAATTTAGATCTGTAATCCACCTGAAACTTATGTTAATGAAGGATGTGAAATAGGGGGTCTCTACATCGTTTTTTTCATTAATATATTGTGGATATCTTTCCAGCCAACACATAATGATTTATCTCATTATTATTATTATTATTATTATAATATTTATTTTAGAGACAGGATCTTGCTATGTTGCCCAGGCTGGTCTTGAGCTCCTTGGCTTACTGGATCCTCCAGCCTCAGCCTCCTGAGTAGCTAGGATTGTAGTCTTGAGCCACTGCCCCTGGTTTACCTAATTATTTTTGACAGTAATTAGGTTTTCCCAATTTGCCTTTGAAGAAAATTTCCCTCATTTATTTGTCAATACAAATACTGCTATAAGTAATATTCTTGTACCTATATCTTTGAGCATCCATGCTAGTATTCTATTGTTGAGATTTCCTAAAGTGAGATTACTAGATTAAAGTTATTATACTCATTTACAATTTTGATACAGCCAAATTTATTTTACTTCTGTCAATAGTGTATAAGGATCCTGGTATATCCCATTCTTGATAATATCATAATATCAATCAGTTTAACATTTGCCAATTTAGGTTTTTTGTTGTTGTTGTTGTTGTTTTGAGACAGAGTCTCACTCTGTCGCCCAGGCTGGAGTGCAGTGGTGTGATCTCAGCTCTCTGCAACCTCCGCCTCCCGGATTCAAGCAATTCTCATGCCTCATACTCCCGAGCAGCTGGGATTACAGGTGTGTACCACTATGCCCAGGTAATTTTTATATTTTTAGTAGAGACAGGGTTTCACCATGTTGGCCAGGCTGGTCTTGAACTCCTGACCTCAAGCAATCCACCTGCCTCGGCCTTCCAAAGTGCTGGGATTACAGGCATGAGCCACTGTGCCCGGCTGCCAATTTGCTTTTTAATACGACACTTAAAAACTGGTAGACTAAACTGGGTATGGTGGTGTGTACCTCTAACCCCAGATCCTTGGGAGGCTGAGGTGGGAGGATTACTTGAGCCCAGGAGTTTGAGACCAACCTGAGCAACAGAGCAAGACCCCCACTCAAAAAACAGAACAAAACAATAAACACAAAACTGCTAGACTAGGGAGGAGTCAAATTCTGTTTGATGCTGACACTGGTGTAATATTCAGAGATTAATGACCAGGTCTCCAACAGCCCCATCTACCCCCACTTTGGTAAAAGTGAGGTTTTAAAATCTAAGAATTTGGTTAAACCTTTCCAGTATCAGGAGAATTGTATCCTGCTTTTCCTGCTCTTCCTATTTCCCAACAGGTTGACATTGAGTAGAAAGGGCTGAGTTGTGTGCTTATCCTGGTCTTAATTTCACCTCTTTTTTCTATTCTCAACCGTGCTTCATCCCTAGTGATTCCACGGAGTGACTGTGGTATAAGGAAAATCATCCTCTGCAAACTTACTTGTTTTCTTCACATTGCCCTTGAAATGATCACAGGGACACTGCTTCTTTGGCAGCCCAGAAACTGTCATGACTTTTCTTCTCGGGGCTCTCAGGAACCAATCTGAAACAACAGCACTGCTGCTTAGATGGGAAAGTTAATACATATGATAGGAGGGAGTAGGACGAAGCTTTAATCGCCATCTTCTGTGCCTTGAATTTCCACTGCAATGGGGTGGGAAAAGGGGTCAACACAGAACAGTGTCCATCCAGCTATTTGAATGCCAGTATTTCTGAGTTGTTTTTCCTGACCTGTTTGGGCAAGGGTTTGGTGGCAGGTTTGGAGGGTGCATCAGAATATCATTACTCCAAAGAATGAGGAGTAAGGCTTGGGTGTCTGCTTTCCAGTGGCTGCTTTCCCTTGGGGAAGCCATTTTGCCTGTCTGCTTTCAGTCTTACCTATGAGTAAAATAAGGCTGAGAATAGGATTCAGGAAGCTTTTGGAAGGCCAGGAAAAAATAAAAAGCCTTTTGGGCGGTAGCCCTGGGTTCTTTAGGAAAAGGATAAGGGGCAGGGGGCAGCCTGACATTGGCTGGCTTTCCCCCTAGACCTTGGAGAACTCCAGTTTTTGCCTGAGAGTCAGGAAGAAAGCAGGCACGGGTGCTGCATGTGGCAGGTTGTGGAGAGGGGAATGGGTGAGGTCAGCTGAGATAACATCTGCATTGGTCTTAGAGGGGCCCAAGGGAGAGAGCTGGGGTCATGGTGATGCCATCGCTGTTGTTGATGCTGAGTTACTGACCTTTGCACTCACATTCTTGGCCGCCTTCCTGGAGCCACTTCCTAGAAGCCTGGCCTTGGTCCCTATGGCCTCTGGCGACCCCTGTCGGAAGGAAACAGGTCACATCCAGACACTGGAAAGGGAACAGAAATGATCCTCCCAGCATTGTGCTACCTAGGTCAGCACAGTTCCATTTTTCCATTTTTACTTCAAGAATCTAGGTTACTTCAAGAGATGAATATTTTATTTGTATTTATATTTTTGAGATGGGGTCTTGGTACGTTGCCTAGGCTGGTCTTGAACTCTTGGGCTCCAGTGATCCTCCTGCCTTGGCCTCCCAAAGTGCTAGGATTATAGGCATGAGCCACTGTGCCCAGCTGAGGGGTATTTTAATCAATGAGGAATTGAAGTTTAAAATCCGGCCTATACGTAAGCATATTAAAAAATTTAATGATTAAACAACATCTGGCCTAGGGAAAAGTGTAGCTGAAGGTAGGTGGAGAAAGAATGGCTTCTAGATGGAAGAGAGGATAAAAGGTAGGGCTTTGTCAAAGCCTCCCGACCTCTCCCCATACCTCACACTAAAATCCTCATGACTTAAAAGAGTGAGAGCAAGGAGGAGATTATTCCATAAACCAAGATTTTCCCTTGACCTCCAAGTTGCTGGGTTTGTTTGTTTTGTTTGTTTTTTGTGAGACAGGATCTCACTCTGTCATCAGACTGGAGTGTAGTGGTGCAGTCTGCGACTGCAGCCTCGACCTCCTGGAGTTTGGACTGATCCTCATCTCAACCTCCTCAGTAACTGAGGCTTCAGGCATGCCCTCAACCTCCTCAGTAACTGAGGCTTCAGGCATGCACCACCACTCCTGGCTAGTTTTTTTGTATTTTTTGTAAAGATGGGGTTTCGCTACGTTGTGCAGGTTGGTCTGGAGCTCCTGGGTGTAAGCGATCTGCCCATCTTGGCCTCCCAAAGTGCTGTGATTATAGGCATGAGCCACCACACCCACCCCAAGTAGCTGTATTTGAATCCAGAGTCCCATTTCAGCTATCAAATGATGGTATTTACCTTTGTTCCTCTGGAACAAATACATTCTTCTTTTGGCCTCTATCCGAGCCTGTTTTTATCTTCTGATTCTATCTTATCTCCATTTTTTTATACTTAAAATATTCCTATGACAGGTCGGGCTTGGTGGCTCATGCCTGGAATCCAAGCACTTTGGGAGGCCGAGGCAGGTGGAACATGAGGTCAGGAGATCAAGACCATCCTGGCTAACACGGTGAAACCCGGTCTCTACTAAAAATACAAAAAATTAGCCAGGCGTGGTGGCGGGCGCCTGTAGTCCCAGCTGCTCAGGAGGCTGAGGCAGGAGAATCTCTTGAACCCAGGAGGCAGAAGTTGCAGTGAGCTAAGATTGCACCACTGTACTCCAGCCTGGGTGACAGAGCAAGAGTCCATCTCAGAAAAAAAAAAAAAATTCCTATGACAATCAAGGATGATAGTTTATAGACTTGAGATTCTCAAGTAAGAACTTGGCTCAGATGACACTTCCTTTATGGTGGTTTCTGATACTTCCTGTCAGAATGAATTATGCCTTCATACGGTTCCTATTGTATTTGAATGCAGTTCTGTTATTGCACTGTAATGTTGTTGTTAGAAATCTTTTATGCACAGAATTATGTCTCCTGAAATTCACATGTTGAATCCATAACCCCCAGTACCTCAGAATGCCTGTATTTGGAGATAGGGCCTTTAAAAGGTGATTAAATCAGGCTGTTATGGTGGGCCCTACTCCAGTCTGGCTGGTGTCCTTATAATAAAAGGAGATTTGGGCCGGACGCGGTGGCTCATGCCTGTCATCTCAGCACTTTAGGAGGCCGAGGCGGGTGGATCACAAGGTCAGGAGTTCAAGACCAGCCTGGCCAACATAGTGAAACCCTGTCTTTACTAAAAATACAAAAATTAGCTGGGCATGGTGGCGTGCATCTGTAGTCCCAGCTACTCGGGAGGCTGAGGCAGGAGAATCACTTGAACCCGGGAGGTGGAGTTTGCAGTGAACTGAGATCGCACCACTATACTCCAGCCTGGGTGACAGAGCAAGAGTCCATCTCAAAAAAAAAAAAAAAAAAAAGGCCTTATGAATGGGACATAGGCCAGGTGTGGTGGCTCTCACCTGTAATCCCAGTGCTTTGGGAGGCTGAGGCAAGGGGATTGCTTGAGGGCAGTAGTTCAAGACAGCCTAGGTAATATAGCGAGGCCTTGTTTCTACAAAGTATATATATATATATTAAAAGGTAAGGTATCCTAGTCTGGGCATGGTGGCTCATCCCTGTAATCACAGCACTTTGGGAGGCTGAGGCTGGCAGATCATTCGAGGTCCAGAGTTCAAGACCAGCTTAGCCAACATGGTGAAACCCTGTCTCTACTGAAAATACAAAAATTAGCTGGGTGTGATGGCGCATGCTACCTGTAATCCCAGCTACTGGGGAGGCTGAGGCAGGAGAATTGCTTGAACCCGGGAGGCAGAGGTTGCAGTGAGTCGAGATCATGCCATTGCACTCCAGCCTGGGCAACAGAGTGAGACTCCGTCTCAAAAAAAAAAAAAGAAAAAGTAGGAGGGATCCTAGAGAGCTCTTTCATTCTCTTTCCACCTCTTGAAGATAAGAGGAGAAGTCTGCTGTCTGCAACCTGGAAGAGGACCCTTGCCAGAACTCAGCTGTGCTGGCACCCTGATTTCATATATCCAGCCTGCAGAATTGTAAGGAATAAATTTCTCTTATTTATGCCACCTAGTCTGTGTATTGTGTTAATGCAGTCCTAGCAAACTAACATAAAATCTTTCTGTTTCACTAGACTCTGAACCATTGGCTCAATAGTCATTCAGCTGCATGGTTCCTGACACATGGTAGGCATTTGGTAAATGTTTGTTCAACACATGGATGGATAGGTTGTTTGGAGAGGACCCTTAGAGATCATACGGCTCAATTCAGGCCTCCTACTTCCCAGACTTCTGCCACACAGATGGAGGGGGTTGCGTCATTTCCCCAAGGGCTGCCTTTCCAGTGTTCTCGTGCTGTTTTGAGTGTTATCAAAGTACTTTAACCTGGCATAGCCCCTGCCATGTAAACTTTTCTAACATTTTTACTCTTGCCTGACCTCTACTCCTAGTTCCAGAGAAAAACCACAGAACATTAGGCCCTGAAGGAAATCCTGGAGATTGTTTAATCGAATTCCTTAATTCTGAAGTTTTTTTTTTCAGTCTAAATATAATTTAACTGTTGGAGAAAATTTTGAAAGTACAAACAGAGAAATTACTATTCTTACCAACTGTTGGTATTTTGACATATTTGTTACCTGCATATGCTTTTTATTAATGTAGTGATAACCATAGAATGTAAACACATTCTCTTTTTCCATTCATAGGCATGTTGCTGTGTTATCGTTATAACACATTTTTAATGAATGAATAATACTCTCAATAATTATGTGTTCCAAATTATTTAACTGCTTTCCCATTGCTGAATATTTAGAAAGTTTTATTTTTTAGAAGTTGGTAAATTTCTTTGTTCTTATAACTGTTTTCCAAATTTTAGATTATTTTCTTGGGAGAGAGTTCCCAAAGTGGAATTACTGGGTCAAAAGGTAAGAATTGCTTTCAAAAGAGCTATACTAATGTTTAAATTTTATTTTTAAATTATTTTATTTTATTTATTTTTTTGAGAAGGAGTCTTGCTTTGTTGCCCAGGCTGGAGTGCAGTGGTGCGATCTCAGCTCACTGCAAGCTTCGTCTCCCGGGTTCATGCCATTCTCCTGCCTCAGCCTCCCAAGTAGCTGGGACTACAGGTGCCTGCCACCACGCCTGGCTAATTTTTTGTACTTTTTAGTAGAGACCGGGTTTCACCGTGTTAGCCAGGATGGTCTCGATCTCCTGACCTCGCGATCTGCCTGCCTCGGCCTCCCGAAGTGCTGGGATTATAGGCATGAGCCACCACAACTGGCCTACTTTTTAATTTTTAAAAATTAAAAAAAATCTTTTTTTCCTTTGAGAAAGGGTCTCACTCTGTCACCAGACTGGAGTGCAGTGGCGCAATCTTGGCTCACTGCAACCTCCGACTCCCTAGTTCAAAGGATTCTCCTGCTTCAGCCTCCGCAGTAGCTGGGATTACAGGCGGCACGTGCCACCACACCCAGCTCATTTTTGTATTTTTAGTAGAGACGGGGTTTCACCATGTTTTCCAGGATCTCCTGACTTCGTGATCCACCCACCTCGGCCTCCCAAAGTGCTGGGATTACAGGCGTTAGCCACTGCGCCTGGCCAAGGGCTGTACTAATTTCATTAAATCACTATCTCCTTTTTTTTTTTTTTTTTAAGATGAGGAAACAGTCCCAGAGAGAGCAAATGAAATGCCCAAGTTCGTAAAAGTAATGGGGACATATCTAAGGCTGAAACCCAGGTCCAGGATTTTATTTTATTTTTAGTGACCAGGGTCTTGCTATGTTGCCCGGGCTAGAGTGCAATAGCTGTTCACAGACATGATCACAGCACAGTGTGGCCTCAAACTCCTGGGCTCAAGTGATCCTCCTTCCTTAGCCTCCCAAGCACTACCACACCCAGCTACAGGTACAAGATTCTTAGTCTGTTGTTTTATTCTGCCCTGCTATATGACCCTAGTTTCACAGAGGAAACTGAAAATGAAGCTGCATGGTGCTATAGTATTATGTCTCCCAAACTTCAGACATTTTTAGACCATCTTTATGATTTTTTTTCTATAGCTTAAACCACCCTTCGTGTTATTTACTTCGTGCTTTTTCTTTTTTCTTTCTTTCTCTTTCTTCCTTCCTCCCCTCCCCTCCCCCCCCCTCCCCTCCCCCCCCTCCCTCCCTCCCTCCCTCCCTCCCTCCCTCCCTCCCTCCCTCCCTTCCTTCCTTCCTTCCTTCCTTCCTTCCTTCCTTCCTTCCTTCCTTCCTTCCTTCCTTTTTTGACAGAGTCTCACTCTGTCGCCCAAGCTGGAGTACAGTGTTGCGCTCTCGGCTCCCTGCAACCTCTGCCTCCCAGGTTCAAGCAATTCTCCTTCCTCAGCCTCCCAAGTAGCTGGGATTACAG